CATCTTAATAGATATTATAAAAGGAATCTTCCAGTGTACATTTAAACAATTTGTACTTTATAGGATATCCTCCAGGTTATCTAAAGACTGACTTACATTGATCCATTAGTTGGAGTATATTTTGTAATTAAATATAAATGGTAAGCAATAGTACTAGTAACAGTAGTACAGCATCTACCACTGAGTGCTCACTTTGTGCCAAATGATGGGCTAAATTACTTTCTCTCTCATCTCCTTACAGCAACTAAATGAAATAGGATCATTACCCCTATTTTTTATATAAGAAAAACTCAAAGTTAAAAAATTTACCCAAGAAAAATGACAAAACTAAACATCAAATGCATAAATTTGAATAGCAACATAAATAACAATAGCAACCAACAATTTAAGTCCATTTTAAAGGGGTGAGGTAAATGATTAACATCCAAAGATCTTTACAATTTTCTGAAATTAGCAAGAAAAAGTTTTGGATCCTTGACTTAGGGTCTAAACTCCTTGAGGCAGAGATTGTATCTCATTCATGTTTGCTTACTAGTATATGAATCTTCACTAATTGTGTTTCTTAGTTTAATTTACTTTTTTTTTTTTTTTTTCTTTAAGAGACAGGGCCTTGCTCTGTCTCCCAGGCTGCAGTGGTGTGATCACAGCTCATTGCAGCCTCGAACTCCTGGGCTCAAGAGATCCTCCTGCCTCAGCCTCCCGAAGTGCTGGGATTACAGGGATTAGCCACAACACCCAGCCTATTTACTTCTCTTTTAAAAGAGTTTGATACAGGACTATTTAGATGACAATAAATATTTAGCTCTGCAGACTGCACCCAAAGAAAACAGTGGCCAACCTGTCTCAAAAAAGATTCTTGAACCAGCAAGTACTTAACACATTGGTGTACCCACATAATAGCAAAATAATAATCTATGTTGGACATAAAATCACATAAGAATAGAAAGATACTAAAAACCAGATTATATCGTTCCTCAGATGAATGAAGATTGTATTTGACGTATTTTGAAGATGCAAAGACCCTCTTGGGGGATTCTATTAATACTATATCACTGTAGATTAGCCCAATTTCATTTAGCATGGTAAATGAGAATAGTCTTTTCAAAGATATGGAATTCAAAGGTAAAGTTTTAAGG